ACATAAATGAATAAAATAGCTCAATAGAAAATGGCTTGTTAAATTAATATTCAGTTTTATTTAATTCGCTTTCACTTAAAGGTATTCTAATTTTAATAGAGTTAGTAACGCGCTTCTACATTTGAATAAAGCCTCACCTGTTTTACTTGTTCATTTTTAATTCATTCCATGGAAAACTTCTAACGAACATTTCTCACCCATTCCATTATAATTTAAGGTTCCTCTTTTTGGCTCATTGTGTTTTATGCTCAAAATTTATCTACCAATCTGCACCAAAGATAAAAATTATATTACCATTTGGTATTACAGCAACATGCTAATTTTCAAGGTTGATGGTAACCTACAAAAATTCAGTGTGTAAAAAGAAATTTTCACATTTAATACACTGTTAGAAATTTCTTGGAAACAATGGTTAAATAACAATTTATTTCATCGTTATTTTACCATATTCGGACAAAACAGATAAAAAACCATAAATAAGATGGTATTCACACTGTTAACTGTGACAAAAACGATTTATTAACTGCTTTCACGTAATACGGTTAAATAACAAGAATATTATCACATCAATTAAGTCCACCTAATGAAGCTACTTAGTTCCTTCCAGCTGAGTACATATTATAGCCAAGAGGGTTAATCTGTCAATTTCATGACCAAAAGAACGAGGGTTCGTATTCCAACGTTGACAGTTCAATATTTCCTACATTCCTGTCAGCACATGAAGAATTTCTTGTATCCTGCACTCCAGATTTGCGACTCTGGAGTATTAGAATACGAAACAGATTACTGTCGGTTATTTCAGAGTAATTTCAGAATGGAAATTCTAACGGCGTACTCTATTACATTTTAATAGCTGTACTTCCCTTCACCTTGCCTCCATTTAAAAAAGAAACAGAAGAAAACCAGTTTCTTTTATTTTTATCAATTTATACTTAAATAAAATTAGATACATTCTATTGTTTCACAAGTGTTGTAATTCTTTATCACGCCATTTAAATAGAATTAAACTTACCATTTTAGAAAATAATTGAATTAATATGTGTATTTGTGTTACTAGCTTTGTTTATCGATTAAAAAATCAACAAAAATTCAATGACTAATTCTTTTATCATTGTCCAGTTTTTAATTCAAACATTTTTTTCATGGTTCATTGTAAAAATGTGCACAAATTCTGAAAAATGCTTCTGTTATTGTATTAAGTTATTTATTCAATGCGTAGTTAAAACATCAAAGAAATTAATTCAAAATAGTTTTAGAAAATTTAAAATCTGAACTATTATTTTTTTTTACGAAATATAATTGAAAATTGTACTCCTTACGCGATATAAATGCATCATAAGCTTTTGTTCAATACAATCGATAGAAAGTATAAATTCTTCTTGACAAAGTATTTCAAAAGGAATCCAATTGATATTTGTTGGTTGTCGTCCTTACAAGTTTGTCCTTCTGCTGAAAATGCTGAAAAGATGTAATGATAAATAAAAACTTGCAATATACTAAATGTAATAACTTCATCTGATAATGTCATTGCCAAGATCAAACTGAAAAGAACTATATTAACATTGTTAATCTTCAAAGTCTTTCATAAAAAAAGTGTGCAAAGTAAAACTCGTAAACATTTTACTGCCAATAAAAATATTGAATGACAGTTTTGATAGCATTAATGTTTGTTTTTGCGACTATCAGATTTGGGGATTCAAAATATGCAAATAATCGAAAAAGTGTTATACAATCAACTCAACAGAAAAAAAATTTCTCTACAACGAAATGTTTCTAAAAGATAAATTTTTAGTAACAAACGTTTTTCTAACAAACAATTTTAAGAAATTCTTATTACAAGAAAGTAAAAATGAATTATGATAATTTCTTTTTAATTAAATAATTTCTGTTAATTTTGAAAGCAACATAATTAAGAATATATTTTAATCAAATTATAAAAATGGTTTACAGAACCAAGCGATGAAAAGAAACAACAATTACAAAAATAAATAAAACTATTTGTAAAAAGAATGGATTGTAATGGAAAGGATGTAACAAATTATGGTTAATATTTCAATTTCAAAAATAAGTATTACACATGCCAATATATGTATCTCCGACCACAAAATCTGGTTAAGAAAGTATTCAGCAGACATGAATTTGCAAAATATTTAGTGTTTAAAATGCAAGCAATTAATTGGAAGTTTACTAATTTTTATTTAATAATCTCTATTATTTTATTAATAATTATAAATATTAATCATTTCATATATTGTTTATTTAAAAGTTAAGTTGCAAAATATATAAAAAAGACAACATCAAAATTTTTATTGCTTGAACTTCTAACAGTATATTTCGAAAAAAAGAATTTATCCACTGACTTAAGATAATAAACTGAAAATAGCACCTTTCATATGGTTATCTTTTTTTTATTTCTGCCCATGAGATCTTGTTTATAAAACTAGTTTAACGAAGTTAATCAATTTTAAAAAATATGACTTGCATCAAAATCATTTTTAATAAATTGCAAGTCCTTACTCCTAAGCTGAATGAATTGGATATAAAATTAAATGCTGAAATCAATACTAGCAGTGCTTATATTATAGTTCCTTGTTTTGTGTCAATTTAACGGAATAGGAAAAAAAAGACGTGATAAATGTGGTTCATTACTTAAAACTAAAGTTCATTACTTATTTCTTCTAATAAAACGAATAGTATAAAAGTTAAAATTTAGCACTAAATAAAGTAAAGGTTGAAATAATCTATAAATAGAAATTAGACTAATTTTCTGCTTTTGATCCGTTGTTTAAAAACTGAATTTGAAACAATATTTCTTTTTTACTATTTTATTAGTATGTATGACTTACTAAACATCTTTTCCAATTTTATGTGATAATACCATTTTTCTCTGTGTTTTAGGCATTAAAAATCCAATAATTTGAAGATTAAATTTTTTCCTGAGATTGACATCATGGGTAAACATAGTTATCAGTTAATGATAAAATAATAATATTTTTTAAATCAAAAATTAAACAAATGAAAATAACATATTATGATTTTAAAATAATGAATTTTGCACTTTGAAATTATAAAATATGTTGAATAAGGCATTAAAAGTACCGTCGAGTGGGGCTACTTTATGCAGCGGGGGCTACTTTGTACAAATTCGAATTTGGCACTTTTCAAGTGCTGCTATTCAGTATTATGTTTTTTTTTTCAAGTTAAAAATGTGTGGAATTTGAAGATAGAAGTCTCCTCTTCTACTACAAGCATTTTTTTTCGAATTTTAAAATAATCTCAGCGTGTGATTTGTTTATCCAATGTCAGCAACTTTCCGAGAACGTCGGACGTCGAAAAGTGTGCGTGGAAACTTTAGCTGTGAAATGCGAAGACGTTGATTTAACAATTGTCGTAAGTTCAAAATTTTTTATTTATATATTAATAAACAATTATATCATGTTAGCATTAAAATAATTTGAAAATTAATAGCAAATAAATGGAAAATGAAAAAAAATGCACTGTGGGGCTACTTTGTGCAAAGTTTCATACGTTTTTTTTTTTCGACAGAAAAATTGTCAGACGTTATAAAAAAAATACCTGGAGTGAGAAACTACCATAATTACACTTTAGAAAAGCTGCTACAATGTTTGCAAGCAGTTGCTGGTGGTATGTCGATTGCAGAAGCTTCTCGGGAGTACAAAATCCACAGAAATACTATCTCTAATAAGATTCACAAGAAACACGTGAAACGTGCTGGTAAACTATTATTTTTCTTCTACAAAGATTTTTCTAATGTATTAATCAAACGATTTATCACATAAAAATATATTTTATAGGACATCAGGTGATTTTGACAGAAACTGAAGAGCAAGTTCTGTCGTGTTCATTCAAGCATGTTATGTTCAAATTTATCAATATTATAAATGTTAATGAATATGTAATAATTATTATTTTTGAAATTTCATCCGTTGTTCAAAAATGTATATGGTTTCCTTTTGTCTGAACTCAAATGTTTTTGAATAAACATTCTTTTTAAAAAAAAATTATTTATAAAAAATGGTTTTTTAACGCTGAAAATTATTTTCAAACTAATATCTTTGCATATCTAGATGTTTTTGTTATTAAAAATTTCAACAATTAACTTTTTTAAAAATTTTATATCAATATTTTACTAAAAACATGATTATTAAACTGAATTCCTATCGCTGCACAAAGTAGCCCCACTTGGGGGCTACTTTGTGCAAGGTATGTTTTGACTTATTATTTGTAAATATTACATACAAATAATGCCAATATTAATCAAATTCACTCGTCTGAGTCCAGTTATGAATATAATATCGATAAATTTTACTAAAGGGTTATCGTAAGAATTAACGTAGTTTTTTTACATGTCAAAGTACAAAATCTGCGAAATCCTGCACAAAGTAGCCCCACATGACGATATTAAGACTTTTGCCATAAAAGAAAAAATCATCTGAAGTTAATAATAAATTTGTAAATACGCAAAAGCAATCTCGAAAAAAAATGCACAAAAATGTTTTCATGTATGGGTATTCTTTGAGTTGTAACGTTTAACATAAAATTAAGTAATAATTTAGCATGGTATGGAGCGACAGCAAATTTACAATTTTAAAAAAATATATATAAAAATATTAATCAATATTATCTTTAACAATTAAAAGGCCAAATAGAAAATTATGTTTCTATCGTTTTAAAAAAAGTCAACTTTAGAACAAACAAAAAAATAAAGCAGATCTTGAAATATGATTTTTTTTTAAATCTGCTTTATTTAAAAATATGGCAGAGTAAATAATAACTTTATACAATCAGCCGTGGTATATTTTTCAATCTGAATGCATATTTTTCAAAATATTATTTTTCACGTTCTAAGTTTTCCAATTATTAAAGTTAATAACATGCACTACTGTTCCAATATTAAAAACAAGTATTGTCATTAGTTCCAAGACACTCATGCTAAGACCTTGCTATTGATGATGAAAATGGCTTATAGCATCGAAACAGCTGAGTGTATTTTAATTTATATTCATTTGCGTTCATTTCGTTGTTTTCTGCATTGCTCATTATAATACAAAGGTAACAATTCCTTATTTTATAATAATGCATGTTTGAGAATAAGGCATGTTTCGATATAGTGAACAGATGCGTTATTATACAGCTTTGAATTAAGGTAAGAAAAGGTTTTCAAAATTTCTGTTAGTGGAGATAAGAATTTTGCAAATAGCATCTCTATTTCCTTCACAAATAATAAATTTTAATCTATGAAGTGTTTTATTGAAGAATTACAATAATTATGATACCCAGAGTTTTATGAAAGCAAGCAATAACTGAATTATTAATTTTAAAATAATTTTGAATCCGAAGCTTTTCAACATTATTTTGCAAATAAAAACAATTATCACTTTTCTCATTAATTTTAAAAAAAATATATGAAATTTAATACTGGAAAAAATGTACTCTTTATGAATTCCATCAAACTATTAAAGATTATTTTAATACTATTATTGAATTCTTTTTGTTTATGTGTCTATTTTTCCATATCAAATTATCTGTTAAGAAATAAATATTATCATAATCTCAGTCTATTACCTGTATCATTTTGATCTTTATAATCCTTAGCTCACTATTGTCTTAAACTTTTCAGAGTTGAAGAAGATTTTATAATTTTTTTAAGCGAAACTATCTTCTAGTAAACTTAATTTTATACATGTAATTTTCCTAATAATTTCTAATTTTATATTTGTAATTTTCCTAGTTGTGTAAAGTCTGTTGTTAATTTTCAACAGAAATTTCAATTGAAGACTACGGGGAAAAAATCTATGACCCGTCTAATCTATTGCCCATTACCTGAATCAGTTTTTATGCCCATAAAAGCTGATTCGGTGAAGAAGAAAAAAATTCTAGAGTACGGCTCATCTTTATTGTGTAATAACTGTCGGGGAGATACGATTTTCCATGTTATTTATTTGTCAAAACTTACTAATTTAAAATTCCAACAGATGCAATCAGTGTAATTTTTGTAGAAAAAAAATTAACATAAACCGTTTCACCCTATTGGTTTGTAATTATTTTTTAATGGTGCATAAGGTTGTTTTATAAGAAAAGATAAAACTTTAGACAACAATTAAGTTTATAATGAAAATATTTTCGTTTTCAAATGGGCATTTTATAATATGTGAATTTAAAATAAATTTGTATCATTCTGGTTTAAATTATTGTTCTCCCTTTAAATGTATGCATGCTTTAAAAGATAGCGTTTTGATCAATTTTTTTCATTTTAATTTTTCTAAAAATACATTTTAATCTTTCCAATATTTTAGTGTATTCACATTTGTAGAAATCTTCACTCAATGAAATGCATACTCAAGGGTTTCTCACTAACTGATAGCTAAAAGGAGAATTTTATTTTACATTTTAAAGAAATATAAAAAATAAGAAATAATATAGTAAAATAATGTTTTTTCTCTCATTTTATTCTTCCTATCCAGCAATGTGTACTTTATGAAATATTTTTCACATAGTATAAACAGAAATTCTATTTATAAATTAAAAACGTTTAGCTTGCAAATATGAAACGTTTTTGTAAAAAAGTTTATTTACCGCAAAAACGCAGTAAACTCTGCGTTTACTGTAAAAACATTTTTGTCGGCATTAAAAATAAAAAATTTCTGAAACATTTTTGATTAAATCCTAAGATATCATTCGATTTCACAAGTTTCCAGTTTTATTCTTATATCTTCATTTATTCTAGCTATAATTAATAATTTGTTGCTTTATTTTCATATAAATGACTTTTTAAACACTTCTCGTACAACGAAGCATATATTTCTTTTAGTTATAAATAAACACAAAAATAACTTGCTGTTTCTAAGATTTAAACACTTAATTTACTGGTTTTAATTTTTTGTATTATATGCTTGTTCCTCTGCTATTAACGCATGATAAGATGATATGTTTTAAAGTATACAGTGTGCAAAATAAAAAATAGACCTCTCTGAATAACTTTTGATCTAATGATCGGATTTTCACGTTCTCCATGTAACACAAATAGAGGATAGGTTCCACTAAAAAATCCTCTACGATCGTAAATTCCAATGTTTGATCCAGAACTTCCCTTGTCTTTTGAATGAGTTCAAAATTAAGAGGCTACGGAGTTGAACATTGATGGTCGTAAGCTCAGAATTAGACGTTCAGAGACGATTATAAAATAATTTTCTCAGTACAGTAATAGTGCTACAATTGACTAAAACAGTCGACACGTATTGTCAGTGCTGTCTATAAGTCTGAAATATAGGTCGAAACAATAATGTCGACCACTCCTTTATTTGTTTTCTCATGCGTCTAAATTTTAGTTAAAGCCGCAAACTTTCCTTTTAAACGGACGAAACAAAATACAGTATAACAACATGCATTATCTATGCCCCTTGTATTTCAAACTAACATTGCCAGCAAATATATAAAAAGTTTAATTAACTTTACACCACAGTTAATTGTCCTCTTGCAAAACTAATTTTAATACAACTTTTCCAAGATTAAAAAAATCAGAATTTAATTTTTATAACGAGTATTATAAACAAATTATACTCTTATCTTAATTATCTAAAATTTATTTTACAAATAGTGCTAGAAAACATTAAACCACTATACCCGAATCCTTTCTTTCTAAATACAAAATTACGTTTTGTCTTGCGCAATATTCAAAACCTTAATCAATAAGATGAAAAGTGTCAAAGTTCATTAATAAGATTCAATGAGATTTTCAATTAAGCATACCCGTATTAATAATTTCTAAGCAAGATGATTAAAGGTTAATGAAAATTTCAGATAATATTTTCGCAGTAAGAGAATTATTAAATTAACTAGTTTTTGACTGGACAGCATAGTTGATTTGCTCCGGGCAAAATATTATGCAATGTTGAATGATTAAATTAATTTATGTTTACATAAAAATATATGAAGTTTTTAGAATGATTTAGAATAATCCATTGATAGAAAAGACTCAAACAAGAGGCTCTTTTTTAGTTAAAATCAATAAAAAGAAGTAAAGTGACAATTCTGAGCTTTTATGAGACAAGATCAACAAGATAAGATAGTTGAATAAATTATCCCTAGAAACTGAAGTGGTAAGACGTAATCTGATTAAAAACATCAATCGTTTCAAAAATGTACGAAAAGGAATAACAGTCGACATATTTCAAGCACTTCATATAATTGATTCCCTTGTTAACTGCATTAGTTCCTGACCACCTCTCCATAGCGCTTGGAAATGCATTTTACCTTGATTTGCCCCCCTCGGCCACTCTGATTTTTCTGGTTTTGTTTTTCATCTTTTTTTCCACAAAGGACTGATCATCAGACACGGTTCCAAGTAAAACACCGAGGTCAAGCAGGCACTGGCTGTGGTCAGTGTGCGGGTGGGTGACCACTTTGATATGTCTATGAAGAGACCGAGGTTGTGTGGTATCGGTTTTCGTTAAACTGTTACTGTTCTACCTTTAAGTACTCAACTTTGCTGACAGGTCGCTTGGCAACCATCCCTTACGCTCAAAATTGTGATATTCGGAACATCTCAGGGATGTTTCCCAGTCCCGTTTGTGCTATCTGTCCTTCGACTTGACAAAGGCTTAAAAACCTAACTTTGTAAAGAGCCTACAAGCTCGCATGTGTATATGCTATTATAAATAAAAAATTATAAATAAGTAGATGCGTCCAAAATTGCAGTAAGATTCGAACCCGCTACCTCCATACATCCATTTATGATATTGGAACAGATTGATGCGTAATATTTAAGTACCTGATTTAAATCAGCCTTGTACAGACATTTGTATATTTACCAATATGTGTTCTTTTAGGTTGTCAAAAATGGTCAATGCTTACTTATAGTTTGCATCGAAATAAAAAAAAACTAACCGTTCAAAAAGCAAAGTTAACAACTGTTTACAAAATTAAATAGATATTATCAAACTAAAAATTTTGTGTTATTTCAAAATTTGCTAGCACTATTAAAATTACAAGCTCATTTGATAAAATTACCAATTATTACCTCATTCACTGCCAAATAGCATGGTAATAAAACTATAATTTAATTTTAATTTTGCCATAAACTCATTACTAATGGGCTTATTGAACTCATTACTAATGCGCTCGAAACTGCCATGCTTTCCGCTGTTCCCATTGATCTAGAAACACGTTAAATTTTACCATATTCTGGTTTTGACCATACCTTTTTTTCTCTGTGAATAGGACAATTTATTTACTTAATTGTAATCTATGAAAAAAATTTAATGAATAAAAAAATTTGCAGGAAGTTTATTTTGAATGCAAAATTATTAAAGCTAAAAAATAATCGCTTGGTAAGAAAATGGCATAATTAACAAGTTTTTCTAGTTGATTAACAAGATAGTTGATTTTGCACAGGGTTAAATATTATTTAAAGGTAAATTAATTCCAAACTTTCAAAATAGGATATATAATTTTAAAAATTATTTTTATGTATCAAATTGATGAAAGATGCAATCAATAAAAGTCAATAAAACTAGTCAATAAAAGTCAATAAAAAGTCAATAAAACTATGCAAAATACAACAATTCAAAATTTTTAAACTTTAAACTAACATAGTCATATACAATTTACACAATAAGTCTATTACTGAAATGACTATTTTTTAATTGGGTAATATAATTTATGCTGATTTGGATAAAATATTAAATATAAATTTTTAAATTAATTCTATTCTTGCAAAAACGATCACTATTTTCAAAATTATATTTAAAAACTTAATTGATGGAAAGAATTCAAATAAGATGCTATTTTTAGTTTTAGGTCAATAAAAATAATGAAATTGTAGCAATTTAAACACTTTAATGAGAGACTGGAAATGTATTTGAAATCAGGAAAACGTTCTCATTTTTATTACTATAAATGTAATCCTACATTTTCTTTGCCAAAAAAAAGCCATTAGTAACGTAACTGTCGTCTTAATTTTCAGCAATTAAGCGCACTCGAGCATATTTTCATTTATTTTTAAGGTCTCAACCACAGCTAATACTTTATAAATTCGGAATAATTATTTTTTATGCCTGGCACAACTTATTCTTCAATAATCATTAACTACTTCTAAGTTAAGTAATTGTCTCATAAATATTAAGACAAATTTTTAATTTTGTAGCT